GCGCCACCACAACAGAGCCTCGGAAAAGCCAACGCTCCACCCCGCCGAGGCAGCTCCGGCACCTGAAAGGCTCCCTTCTCGCAGGTGTCTAGCAGCGCTCCTTTCTGGGTCAGGTTTTGCGAGCTCACCTGTCTTAGAGCAGCAAGAGGAGAGGCAGCAGAAAGAGCAGAGCAGCGGCGAGACGGAGCCCCAGGAGGGCCGGGCTGGTCCTGGGAGCGCTGAGTGGACCCGCCCTTCCAGCCGGCGGTATAAATAACATTATCTGGCCGAGCAGGGACATTCCTGCTCAGGGACAGCTCGGCTGCCCGGCCCAGATAGCCGTGTCCCTCCGGGGGAGGGAAAAGGAGAAAGGAGGAGGAGGAGGAGGAGGAGGAGGAAGCGCCTGCCCTGCAATGCAGCACAGCGGCCCCCCCAGGCCAGCGCCAGCAGCGGCACCTGGCGATGCCCAGCGCAGCAACCGCCGTCGCCGCTACCTGCTGCAAACGATGCCCGGCAGCCGAGAGGCAACAACCGGGCCACACCCAGTTTGAAGCCGGAGCCTGATCTCTCCAGCTCCTGCCTGGAGTAAACGCTCCGATCTCCCGCAGAGGGTGGGGAAGGGGGGGGGAGAAAAACAAGGTTTAAACTGCGGGAGCCGCGGCCCTAAATGAAAAAAGAGGAGCGGGGGAGGTTAGGGCGGCGAAGGGGAAGAAGGCGCGCTGGCTGTGCCTCTCAGGGCAACGCGGAGCTCCCTCGCTCACTGAGGCGGCAGGAGGATTGTGGTAGGACAACGTGAGGCTCTGACACCACGCCGGCGGCTGCTCTAGGGTGCCGCGAGCCTCCTCGGTTGTCCGGACTAGAGGGAAGGAGGGAGAGAGAGGCAGAGCTCGGCACCCGCCTCCCGCACCAGCGAGCGCCGCTGAGTTAGCGGCTGGCGGGAAGGTGGCCGCCCTGTAGCCCGCGCGCCTGAGCCGCCCGCCAACCCTCGTGCTGCGACGAGGGGCTGGCGGCGGGGTTCGAATTCCCGCGTCTTCCGGGCTGCTCGTGCAAACCTCTGCAAATAGCTTCGGAAATAAGCCGCCCGTGACAGGACTGCCCTTGGCCTCGCTTCACCCACCCGCTGTCCTGGCTAGACCGCAACTAGAAAGGATTTCTCTCTCTTTATTTCCCGCTTTTTTTTCCTCTCGCGAAGGAAATATCTGACGCCTCTGATTTAAACCGCGCGGCGGCGCCCCTCGTCATCGGCACCAACTTGTACTTCGGCCTTCCTTGGTGTCCTAGAAAAGGAAGGAGGGAGGGTGAAACTGCGCTCTCATTTGCCAGATGCAATTCCCACACACACACACACACACACATTTGAAGGGGAGGGGATCACCGTCGTTTAAAAATCCATTCTGCTTAAGCGTCTAAAATGAAAAGCAAAGGAGAGGATAACCTCATTGTTGGTATATAGACCGAGTGCTGCAGGCCTACTGTAGTGGCTTTTCTGCTGAGGAAAACAGGAACACCGGAGTCTATTACAGGGCGAATTCTCCACAGCGAAGGGAGACGAGGAGTGGGGGTTATTCGACACGAAACTGCTGCAAACGGGCAGCTTTCCGGGAAAGAAAAAATGAGTCTGCTTCCTGATCCTGACTGCAGAGGGTCCAGTGTTTACAAGAACTTTATTCTTTCTCCTGAGCTGGCAAATCTCATTCATTTGAAGAAAATTGTTTACCTGCTATCACTTGCAAAAAGATATTGCTAGAAATCAATAGAAATGGCAATCTCCTCTTAGATTTATTTTTAAGACCAATTCCTAGGGTGATAATTGAACTTAAACTGCTTCATGAATGATGTAAAAAAGGGATTTCTATCCATAACTAGTGTTTGCTCGATACAATTTTTTTTAAATCCACAGGATAACTATTCAGAGAAGGACAACTCTAAAACAAATTTCCCCAGACTGCTGCCCTCCCAATATATTATACTGTAAATACCATGGTGTTCTAGATTGTATCATATTGTGCCAAAACAATGGGAGATGATCTATATATAAAAATAATAATATTTTCTGTTCCAAGATGTTATTTTCTTTTTACCTCTCAAGTTATTCAATACAAAAGAACCACTCGGAAGCCTTATCAGATTTGAAATATGTTGTCCTTCATATACTCATATTGATATGTGAAATGTTTTTGATATTATTTTACCAAAATGAGGTGTAAATCAAATCAATAAAAATACAGATGACACACAGCTCTATTTCACTTTTTCATCTACAACAGGAATTCTGTTACAATATTCTGAATTGGATGTGAATTAATAAAATTATCCAGACAGGACAGAGGTATACTTGTCTGGCAAACAGATGGATTTGAAATAGGATTTCAGACTGTTTTGGTTAAAGGAATTCTTCAACTTTCCTGTAAAAAATCTAGTTTTTAGCATGGAGGTATTTCTGGATTCAGCTTTTTATCTGTTGGTTCAGACCTGCATGCTTTCTTTAGGTTTAGTACATCCAGATTGGATTATTGCAGGATGCCCTTCTTGGGACTACTTGGAACAGCCTTCAGAAACTTCATGGTGTTTAAAATGCAGGAGCAAGAGTGTTGGTAAAAGCTTTCAGGTAGAATTGCATTCCATATAGACTATCTTTGCTATCTGAATACTAATTGTCCCAATTTTAAGAAACCGTTTGTAGCTCTATTTATTTTGTATTACTTTAATATAAACAACTACTGAATGCCATCAACAAACTGGGCCGACTCCTGGGCATTTGAAAACAAATCAGACATCTACATGAGGCATTGGTTCAATTCAAGCAAAACAGTGGCTTTGCAACTACATTTCAGTAGTCCAAAAAAGGAAGACATGAGCGACAGTGAGCAGACCCTCACTGTGGGGTGAGGAATGAGTGCAAGTTGAGGAGCATTCAGTTGCTTCAGCAGGTATAGAACACAGCTGCACAAGTTGCTCCGATCTGTAGTGTTGACTATTTGACACACGTAACATTACTGCTTTGGGGGCCAAATGGTTGCCAGTGTATTTCCAGATACAATTCAAGATCCTGGGTGTCACTTTTAAAGTCCTTCATAGCATGGAACTGGGTTACCTGAGGGACTGTCTTCTTCCAGTTGTTTCTACCTATCCAATCCAGTCCCACAGGAATGTGGGGTGTGGGGAATTAGGAGATGTCTCTGCCATAACCATTGCCCTCTCTAGAGAGTAGGATGCTCCCAAACCTGCTGGCCTTTCAGAAGGTGTTGAAGACCTAGCTATGTGCCTGGACCTGGAGTCCAGAGTATGTGAAAGGCCCATTTCCTGGTTACATTTATTATAATAAAATATAATATCTCTTGGCTGCTATTTATATTTAATTTCTTTTTTTGTATTGTATTTTAATCATTTTAATTGTTTTATGATTATTCACCACACAGAGTCACTGGTTTGAAATGGGTGGCAATACAAATTGAATGAATAAATTAATCTCAGTATGTATATTTGGTGGACATGAGTATCTGTTAAAAGAACTGTCCATTTGTTCCTACTTTCCTCTTTTCTTTAGTAAGTGTTCATATCTTCTTACATGATACCCATCAGATTTGCTCAGAGATTAGTCAAAAACCTTTTGCAAGGGCTTTGTCAATAAAGTTTTGAAATTCCAAATATTGTTTACCAGTTCATTGTTATCAATTTATTTGGTGATTCTCATAAAAGACTCCTGAAGCTGACTGATGGTATATGAATTGCCAGAGTTGTTATTAAAAATAATAATTATATGGAATTGTGCAAAGTTTTCTTCAGGATTCCCACTTTTGCTAGCAGAAATGTAGGTTTGCTTTCCTTACAATATATATTTCTAATTTCTTCCCAATCCACTATTGGTTAATAGTTTATATATCCCTGAGTGATTATTGTTAAACATGTATCTCAAGGGTACTTAATACATTTGAAATGTTCATGTTTAGCACTTTGGGAGTTTGAGGGGTGTCTTTCAGTCAATTTTGATTCCTGGCAACTCCCTGGACTAGCCCCTGCGGAGGTTTGCATTAGTAGTTTGCCTTGGCCTCCTTCCTAGGACTGAAAAAAAGTGACTGGTCCAAGGTCATCCAGCTGGCTTTGTGCCTAAAGCAGGACTAGGATTCATATCTCACTACAGCAAACTGCCTCTTCTATTTCCATCACTTGGCTCATCCCAAACCTCTGCAAGAACAGAAGAGCAGCTATAGTACCGTTATTAGTCCCAGTGTCATCAGAGGGAAAGTGGGAGGAAAGTCTTGGTTATGTTAAATACACGAGATTCTAGCACGAAGCAATCCACCCTTTTGAGTCGGATTGAGTTTCCAAGCTAATACACCTCAGAAAGTTCAAGGCTCATAGATATTTATTATAATCCGATCAAATGGCTTTAAGGACCCATCCTTTCTTTGCTTTTTCTTGTAACTTTTCTGATAAATTTTACTTCTCAAATTTAAAATTTCTGTCGAATTGTTTCCATATTGTAGAGAGACTTAGATGCAGCAGCAGAAGCCTGTGAATTAAACTCCTTTATTTTCCCATTCTACTAAAAGGGAAAGAAAGGAGAAACGCGCAATTCATAACATCCTCCCGAAGCCTCTGTGGTGATATAAAACTGATGCCCGTAAATAATACACCACCAAAGGTTGGTCATAATTATTTTACGGCCGAAGTAAAAAGTGCCTAAGCATTTAAAAAAAAAAATTAAATTAAAAAAATAAAATCAGGATCCAAATTCGATAAAGAGTAACAGCACTGCAAACTTGAGAACAAAAACCTTCCAAGGGCATTTGCAGCCACGCCGCTCCAACGCAGGTAGCTTGGGAAAACAGCGATCTTTTTCTCCATTCAACTCTACGCACCCGCAAAATTTAGCACACAGTCAATCTGTCCGATAAACCACACCCTCAGCGCAGGCTCCTCCCTCCCTAGCCGGCCCGCCTCCTTTCAGAGAGTCACTTGGGGCAGAATCGGAGAAATCTCGCTTGTTTTTCTTTCTTTCTCTCTCGCGCGGATAGTGACGTCACAGGGACGCACAGATTCGGGAAGGAGGTTTGACGGCAGCATGTGCGGGGGCTGCGTGAAGACGGAGTACCCTCCTCGGGTAAGGCGGGGGGGGGGAGCGGGCTTTCTTTAAGGCACGAGAAGGGAGCGTTCCTTTGTCGCTGCCTTCCCTGTTCCTTGGCTTCCTTCGAAGTTTGCCCCCCCCCCCTTACCAATTCTTACCTGGGAACAGATGAGATCCAAAGCAGGGGGTCTGCAGGCAAAATTAATTTCTCCCGCACTCAGTAATGCCTTTATTAAGACCAGCCAAAGTGTCATTAAAGAGTGTGCAAGGTGCAATACTAATATACTCCCAGATTTTTTTTTTTCCATTATGGAATTCCCCTCCCCCCCCCGGGCGAAATAAGCTTAATCCTTTTTCTATTTTTCACTTTCACTTTTCATGCAGAGCACTAGGCTGTCTCCCCGGCTTTTTTTTTTTTTTTTTTGGCGAAGTTTTTTTTTTTTTCATTTGAACCTGTTGTGGTTAAACAGTGTTTCTCAACCTTGACAATTTTAAGGCATGTGGACTTCAACTCCCAGAATTCCACAGCCAGCATTGCTGGCTGTGGAATTCTGGGAGTTGAAGTCCACATGCCTTAAAATTGTCAAGGTTGAGAAACACTGGAAAGGATTCTTGCAGTGGAACTCTCCAGATGGAATATAGATCTATAGCTGTAGTGGGCTCTCATTTTCTGCCAAGAGGATACAGCCCTTTAATTGCCAGCACTTTTCAACTGTGTTACACTACAGCTTCCAGCATTTCTATTGAGACGTTTATTATATGGGATTCTGGGAAGTGTAGTTCTCCAGTTAGAGGGAAAAAATAGAAAATGCTTCTCTCCTAATAGGTACTGGGTAACAGAGTCTTGAGAAGATGTTTTTTGCATATCTGTGCTTTCAAGTCAGTTTTTGACTACTTGGCAACTGCTCAAAGTAGTCCCTGCAGTTTTCTTGGCAATATTTTTTCTCCTCAGAAGTAGTTGCCATTGCCTCCATCCCAGGGCTGAGAGAAAATGACTGGTCTAAGGTCACCCAGCTGGCTTTGTGCTTGAAGCAAGACTAGAACTCACAGTCAGCTTCTAGTCTGGTGTCTTAACTTAACCATTACGTAGAATTACTATAAAAGTTATGGGTTTTCAAGAAACTCTGCTAATGATGTGTGAAAGGAAATATATTTTCTATTTCTAGTTTTTAAAAGTGAACTGTTTAAAAGATATTTTAACATTATAAAATCTCTAGGTTGTATATGGTTTTTTTATTTTAAATGTATTTCTCAATGTAATCTTGAAATCACTGACTTGATATTAACCAGAAAGAAATATTGCACATTGTATTGAGAAATAAATTGAAAATCAGTACATGTAAATCCAGAGATAAGCCAGATGATTAGAACATTTGAAAAATTTAAGAAAATGATCTTACTGAAATATAGGGTTGTTCTAAGTGGTACATTGATTGCAGATTATATATTATAATCTGAAAATCCTTTGGTGGCATTATTGTTCATCATTGTTTACTATGACTTCTCCCTCTGGAATGGAAAAGAACCTACCACAGAACAGTCTTTGAAAACCAGGGTCAGATGGATTGTCAGATGGATTGTTTGTTTTTGGCATAACTTATTATGTGAGACTTTCCCTTTGGCTTATAATATGTGTGAGCCCACATAGGGAGAAGTCAGATTTTAACAGTTTACCATATTATTGTTTAGATTGAAGGTTGGATTGAATGCATTTTATCTGGGAAGGAAGGAAGGTATGTAGGGATAGAAATTAGGTCTGGGGGAAATTTGCCAGGATTACTCATATGTGGGGTATTTAATTAGCTTCTATGTGTTTTCTCTGATCATAATCATTTCCTTGATTGCATTTTTAAAAATATGGGAAGTTCTGAATGTAGAATTCTGAAGTAATTTGTAAATTTGGCTCTTAAATCAATTTAAGAAGAGATCACTGGCTGTGTTAACATATTTTCCCACCTTTGAATCTCTTAGGGTACTACTTGCTTGGAGAACGGATCCTACTTAATGAATTATGTTGGTTGCATTGAATGCAAAACACGGGATTTTGTGATGATTGTGAACAAAGCAACAGAAGAAGAAGATGGAGAGGAAATTGTCACTTACGATCGTAAGATGGCCAGATTCTTCTGTTGTTTGTGTGGGCATTAAGAACCTGTATCCAGAAATCTGTACCATTGAAAGTTAAATGTGTCTAGACATGCTTTTATATGTGAGATATGCGTGCATGTATTTCATCCCATTATAAAAACAAAATGGTAATGAACTGTTATCATAGTTACCTGAATAATGCACTTCAGGATTCTGGGCTATGCCCAGTAACACCTGACTGCTAATAATTGAGGCATAAGGGAATAAATGAATTTATTTTTCCTGTCACAGAAGGTCACATGCCCCAAAATCTATTTTAGGTGTAAGGGAACTCTCAAAGCACATTTAGTAGCATATAGAAGATGAAAGAGAATGAAGAGACAGGAGAGTAGAAAGTTTCACTCAAGGAAAATTATTTTAATCCAATTCTTGCTGTTGTTGGATGTATTAATACTCCAAGGTTGGGTTTACCCATCACATAACTTGTTCGTTTTTGGCTTAATTTGTTATGTGAGCCTTTCCACTCTAAGCTACAGTTTATAATAATATATTTGAGCCCACCCATTGTGCCTTATTCAGGAGATCCTGGTAAAAACCCATTACTTAGAGCCACATATGAACTTAGGCCCTATAAATACAATTGCAGAAAAGAAAAGCCAGAAACCAGGTTTTCTAAAGAAATATATTCACTGATTTTTTTTTCTAAAGAAATATATTCATAAAATTGTCATTATGGTGATAAAAACATGAAGGTTGCAGTCCTATGTTCTTTCTTGAAGGGAAGCATCATTGAGTACTATTGAACTCCTAAGTTAGGTTGTGGCTATCCTGAGGTTGCATTCAAACTCCAGTTAGCCCCAGACAGCTTGGCAATACTCAGGGTTTAAGTCAAGAATGTCTGAAGAATTATAGGTTTCCTTCTCCTGTCATAGCGGCATTTTGTAGGAACAAATACAACAAAGAGACTTGTGGCCCCTTAAAAACTAACACATGTAATCATATAAACTTTCTTGAATTCTAGTCCATTTCATCAGATGCATAAGATTGTACTATATAATACAGCTTATTTATTTAATTCATTTTTTAATCCCACCTTTATTATTTTTCTAAATATCTCAAGGTGGTTAAGATACCTAATACTCCTTCCTCCTCCTGTTTTCCCTACAACAGCCACCCTTTGAAGTGAGTTGGGCTGAGAGATAGTGACTGGCTCAAAGTCACCTGGCTGGCTTTCATTGCTAAAGTGGGATTGGAACTCACGGTCTTCCCGTTTCTAGCCTGGTGTCTTAACCATTAGATCAAACAGGTTGACCAACTGTGGTTGAGGAGAAAGAGAAGATAGGTGGATGGGATAGAAAACAAATAGAGAATAAAAGTAGATATGAGAACAGGGAGAATTGCTGTAGTTAAAATTAAAGCGGGAGTTGGGTCTCATGTATTTTTGTACTGATGAGCTAATTAACAGTGTAGTACTGTTTGCGATAGTGGCAAATATCTGTAGTTTGGTGGAAGCTGAGTGTGGAGGCTCATTCTCCAAGCTTGTGAGTTGGTTTCCGAATGTTTTGTTGTGCCAGGCTAGGTAACATCTTCAGCAGAATTGAGGGAATTTAGTGTAGTACTGTATGTAATTACAAAAGAGAGGACCAAAACTTCTTTTCAATTGATGTTTTCATGATAACTAGTTGGTCATCTCCATGTTGGGAGTTGATGGGAGGGTGTTGGGGGGAACACTACAAAATAATGTACATTGCCTTCTTTCCAGGTTTCCCAGTCTGGTCTACATTCCTGGGATCTCCTAATGGTCTCGCAGTAAAAATATTAATTTTATTTGACTCTGTTTAGCTTTTGGAAATCAGCCAACATCAGTTTGATGCTACCATCAATTTTTGTATGTATTGATTGCCTGTTGCCCTGAAAGAGTGCCATAAACATTTTTAAAGCAGATTAATAGTCTTTTGCAACAGCATGCCAGAGCTGAATGTCTCCTTGCCATATTGTTTTAATGAGCAGATAAGCGTCTACTTGTATTGCTACCCCTTCCTGCTTTTCTATATTGTCACTTCTGCTCAGTTTCCAGGAATTGTTAATCCTGTATATCTTCTGCTTTTTCTTCTTCTGTGAGTGTAACTTTTTAATGAACCAGTGTGCAGTGCCAGAACATGCCATTTCTCTCATTTTTTCCATTGAAGTAATAGCAATGAATGTTTTAGAGAAGTGATGACAGTAGGGATAATTAATAAATGGCTAGGAATGGAAATTGGGGAGCCAAATGGGGGAAGGTTGAGCTTTCTGTAGACTATATCTTTTTAAGTATGACTGGTACAGCAGGTATTATCCTTTGATTCCTGTGTAAGTGCAAATGTCTTAAAGCAATTTGATTTCTTTTGCAATTTTAGAGCATAGGTTTCAAGCTTATCTTTTGTTTTCTTTTCAGATGTATGTAAGAATTGTCACCATGTGATAGCCAGGCATGAATACACTTTTGGTGTAGTGGATGATTACCAGGTATAAGAGCCTTTCATTGATCAAGCACTGAATTTGTTTACCTTTTATTTACTTCAACTTTTTATCTTTTTGAGGCTCATTAAGCTTGGTAATTGATTTATAGCATATAATTCAGTATGCTTTCATATGATGTTAACAAGTGGACCATATTTTAATTTAGTATGTTGTGTGAATCCAGCCTATGTTGTTATTTAGTGGTTATGCTGTACAAACTCAACCAGTTGGTTTAATAATATAAACTATTATTGATTTATTAATTCAGCTTGAGAGCTGACTAAATATAAACTCTGGACAGCTGACAATGCAATAGACCATAAAAAAATAAGGAAAATGTATGTGTCCCAGGATAATGTTGCAGAATCAATCTGAGTTGGTCACCAAGACCAGAGGTTTTTACTTCCAAGCTTTCGGACTTACTCTGGAACCCATCCTCAGGGAATTCTCTCTCTCACTTGGTCAGCCTAGGATTGATAAATATAATTGGGTATTATCAGCCTAGTTTTGATACCGAACTCCAAATTGGCTGATGACCTCACTCAGCAGTTTCATGTAATAGCTCTGCTTCACAAGGTATACTTGCTGCCAATTTGCTTCTGGGTACAATTCAAGATACTAATCAGTATCTTTAACAAAAAAAAACACCTGCTTTATAGCTTAGTTACTTGAGGGACTCTCTGCCTCCCTTAGTATCTACCCAGCCAATTCAATCTTGATGCCATCTATCAGGACCCCAGAAGTATGCCTTCTCTGTACAATGCCTGCCCTCTAGAACAGTGGTGGCGAACCTATGGCACGGGTGCCAGAGGCGGCACTCAGAGCCCTCTCTGTGGGCAAGCGCGCCGTCGCCCCAGTCCTACGCCTTCAGTTGGGTTTTATAAGACCTTTTTGCTTTAGGCCTCCGCCACCATATGCAAAAAAAAAAGGTTCAATCAATCAGTCAATTTCAACTTCTCGTGGGGAAAAAAAGATCTTGCAAAGTTGGAATTGATTGATTGAACTTTTTAGTCCAACCCAGTCTGCTGTTGCCACTGCAGCCACATCCACCCAATGGGCCACACCCACCCGGCACCCGACGATGCATAAGTGGGTTTTGGGTTGCAGTTTGGGCACTTGGTCTCTAAAAGGTTCGCCATCACTGCTCTAGAATGAGGTTTCTTCCCAGATCTGCACAGCCACCATCCTACTGGTTTTTCAAAGGGCATTAAAGACTTGCTTTTTCAGCAAGGATGACTGAACCTCCTTTTAACTTGAGTGGTTTTCTTTTGCTCCCATCTAGTTTTGTCATTCTGCAATCTTTACCTTTCTGTTTCTTTTTGTTTCTCTTATTTTAATGTTTTAAATAATTTCTAAACCACCCAGAATTGCTGTGAAGCAGGCAGTATATAAATTTAATTTATGGTTCACACAGTCAGCCAGATGTTTAAACTGGATTGGCATTTTTATCCACCTATCGGGTCCTTCCCAAGAACGTGGGATAGACAGTCGTTGCTATTTGATGGTGTTAAGGCAAGGGTTTTCAAACTTGGCCCTTTTATGACTCGTGGACTTCAACTCCCAGAATTCCTCAGCCAGCATGCCTGGCTGAGGAATCCTGGGAGTTGAAGTCCACGAGTCATAAAAGGGCCAAGTTTGAAGACCCCTGTGTTAAGGTATTGTGGGAAGATTTATTTTTATAAAAATAAGTGAAATTTAATTATATTGCTTCCAAATAAATATTTAATGACTTTACCCAATCAAAATCATGGCATCAGATTTTGGCACAGTTATTGCCAAAAGTAGTTTCAGCTGCTCCTCGTGAACAACAGGGGGAGATAGAGGGCTTTTATATTTGATAACCAATCTCATGTTATACCCACCATATCTTTAAGGTGTTGGCAAGTAGTTAGTAATTCGATCTCATTAAAGATATATAGGTTTGCTTGAACTATGACTATTGTTACAGCTCATTGATTCCTTGGTTAACACAAATTAATATACTCATGCAGCAAATGAAAAAAAGCATCTATTCTCAGTCACCCAGTATAAATATATTTTGTCTCTCCTTCTAGGAATACACCATGCTCTGCATGCTCTGTGGGAGGGCAGAAGATTCTATCAGTATCTTGCCTGATGACCCTCATCTGATGACTCCATTGTTCTGAAGTGCCTTGATTTTTCTCAGCCATTGTATCATGTACTAAAAGACAGAAACTCATGGAATAAGATATTTACAGAACACAAATGCAGACTTTTCTCAATCCATGTGGGACAGTCAAATGGTATGGGATCAAAAAATAGCATCTTCAGATGGTATGGGGTCAAAAAAATAGCATCTTAGTTTATCATAATCAGAAGCGGTCTCTGCAAGCTAAAGGAAGAGAGAAAAAAACATTCATTTGCTGAAAGCTTCATAGAAAAGGCAGAATTCCTGCTTGCTGCTTTGAGTCTTCTTTAATGTTTTCTACAAGTCAGAATGCTGTGGTCAGGGTTACTGGCATCATAGGGAATGCTGTATTTTTCTGACTGTCTACCCCACTGCAGTATCAACCAATGCCTCCAGCTCTCTTAGTTGAAAGAGGACTCCCCAAAAGGAAAGAAATCTGATTTGCGGGAGATACAAAAAATGTATGAGAATGTAATGTTAGGGGGGGGAAATTGCCTTTTCCAAAGCCATCCAGCACACCATGTAGAAATAGAGGAAGCGATAAGAGGTAAGACCAGGTTACTTGAGAGACTTCTCACCTTACTGGGATTGGCCCATACCACTTGTGCCAGCAGAGAGAGCATGCTGTGGGTCCCGTCAGCCCAATTATTCCGTCTGGCGGGATCCAGGAGGAGGGCTTTCTCTGCTGTTGCTCCTGCCCTGTGGACCATCTTGCCCCCCCCATGTGAAGTCGGTCCCAACCCTCCTATCCTTTTGTAAGTGGCGGAACAGCGCAATGGATATGGTTGGTTGAGTAATAATAGCTCCCACCCACCCCCTCCACTCTGCCCCTGCCCTCTGTATGTGTCCTTGGTTTTAATATCTGATTTTAACTTTTTATGTTTTCACTGTATATGTAACTGTAAGCCACCAGGAGTTACCCTAGGTATGGTAAGATGGGCGGCCAATAAATTTAATTAATTAATTAATTAATTATCTCACAGAAAGCTTTAGAGAAGGATAGAACTAGCCAGTGTTTCTCGGCTGTTTCTGTGCCCCAAATGAAAGAAGACTCCATTTTCCTTCAAGTTTTCCAGAATGTACGGTTGACTCGTAGCAGAGTCATGTAGCTTCATGTTCATTAGAAAACGAACAGATGAAGAAATCTTGCTGATTCTAATCTAAATAATTGCATTGATGTGAACTTCCGAAGCAATGGGACACTTGCCCTCTGACCTGCTAAAAGGTGGTTCCTGAATCAAAGGGGGCAATTACTTTTTGTATTGGCACATCACATATTGGGTGATTGTTTATAAAGTAAATGAAACAAGCTGAAAAAAGTTGGCATTATGGTACTTGTTTGCTTGGATTCCCTTTATCAATAGGACCCTCACTGATTTCATTGGGAAAGATAAACATCAATTCAGAAAATCAAAAAAGGGTAACTTTTTCGCCGAACGGTATTTGATTCAGCAAGGCTGCCTTCTGTGGTTCATTTATAGTGCCAGCCTGTGGGTATATGACCTATTTCAATTAGGATTTCACTGTGAAATTAGGTAGGGAGAGCTGATCTGAGACTAATTAAACTGAAGTTTCATCTTTAAGAAACTTAGTCAAGGGCCATAAATCTTTAGCCACTGAACCATTTTTGAATGCAAATTACCTTAAACTGCCATCAGCAAATGTAAGTTTCAGTTCTCATATGTAAAATTAGAAAGGGACCTGGTGTCTGCTAATGGATTCTAGAAGCATTCCTCTCTATGGAAATTGGTCCTTTCAGAAAGATTGTACTGATCCCATAGTGGTATCTGCCCTTACTGTAACTTGCATTAGCAAACTTCTCTGATGTGGATTAACACGACTGCTTCTTGCCAAAGATTTTGATGATGCATAATTACTTTGCCTGCCCAATGAAGCAACTAGATACTGATTTTTAACCACAAGACTAAAACTAAAACTTGCCAAGCTATTTATGAGCATAGAATATGAGGCACTCAAGGCCAGTTGGCATGGTAATTCAATGGAAGGAGTAACTCTATAATTGCCAGACACTGGAAATAAATTATAGGACTATCACAAGTTTGGGAAGTATAGTATATCATATAAGGTAATTTTGGTTACATGGTTAATTACAATTTGTCCTAACTGGTAGTGTTGATAATCTGCTATCTAAATTACTGAAATGTACAAAAAAATAATTGAGTGTATTTAGAGATTTGTTGTGAAATTAATTTTTGTCAAGAGAGCCTTCAGCATACAGATGGTCCTCAGTTAACACAATTGAGCCTGGAATTTTGATTGTAAGTCATTGTAGTCATGAAGCATGTCATCATGGTGATGGGTTTATGACCGTTTTTACAATTGTGGTCATTTAGCAAATCCATTCCCCCAAATGGGTGTTTTTTTGCCAGAACCAGAAACTGGCAAAAACTTAAATTGACTATGAGATGCTGCAACCGGTCGTAAATGCGAGCCATTTGCGAAGCGTCTGAAATTCGATCGTATGATTATGGGGTATAGCTGTGTACAGCAGTCATAACTTTGAGGATGGGATATAAGTAACTTTTTTTTGTTCTGTCATAAGTGAACAATCGTTAAGTGAGGACTACCTATATGCTTCTTTGCATTAAAATACAGGTAACTGAAACTGGTGGTGTCCATTGTGTCTGAGCCTTAAAAGACCAACAGCATCTTAGGCAAGATCACAGATTGTTTTTCTGTTCCAGACAAAACTTCCTAACCATGTTGCTTAGTGATAATTTTGCGGGTCTGTTATCTTAAAACTGTATTGATCTCAGTTCCTGGAAGGTTGGACAAAGTGGAATCACTAATGAGAGTAATGGGTTTATTTTTTTAACTTAAAAGGAGGCCCTCTAGGACCTGAGCTTTTTGCTTAAAACCATTAGGCACCCATTTGTTTTTGTTCTTACATTTTGCACTTGGTGCTTAAGAGAAATGTTTCTGGCAGGAAATCAAAATCTGTGAAGAGAATTGGCTTGTCTTTCTTCTCTTGGTATTCCAGAGTGTATGGAGACTCCTGAAATCTCTCTGTTCGAGTCATTCAGTGAATTAGGCTTGTAAATATTCACTGTATCCCATGTTGGGAGCATGGCTTATATGGTGTCCATATTGTATTACTTTGCTTACTCCCAAGATGATGATGACAGATTTACTGAGTTTACTGTGGATTTTAATTTTAATGGAGAACAGTTGAGCCAGTCTGTAAAAGCTGGCTCTTTATGGCAGCGGTCCCCAACTTTTGTGGCCTGGTGGGGGGGGGAGAGAGGGGAACGTGGATGTGCGCATGCAGTTCCATTCAAATGAGCAGTGGGCCAGTGTGCATGTGTGTGCGTGCCGGCCCTCCGCTTGCACAAGTGGAGCTGTGCGCACACATGCTCACTGGCCTGCCTCTTGTGCAGCCTGGTCCTGAATAAGCCATAGTCTGGTAGTGGGCCACTGCCCAGAGGTTGGGAACTCCTGCTTTGATGGCTTATAAATATAGAAAATTATTTACAGGATAAGAACATTGTTCCATATTTGGAAATATTCTGTTGGTTCTGTTCTTGTCAGGCACAAAAACCAGGATCACACATTAAGTTCTAATTAAACTGATTTGCTGCTCATGCCTATGCACAGGAATCTACTCAACTAACAGCACTATTTTTGGCACTAGATAAGGGTTCATTCAAGGGGGGGATTGGATTTGATCCATTTATGCCTACATAGAGATCCTAGGCTGCTTCCTTTTTTGACTCCACCCTCAGGTTCTGCCCCTCCTCCTACAGTTCTTTCTCTTTGCATTCCAAACTGAACCTCTAAACAAGAAGTCCCCAACCTTCAGTTCTGAGAAGAGAGGTTTTTCCGCGGACCAGAGGCTGTGTGGTTTTGTGTGCTGCCTGCATCCTGCGGATGGGACTTTGCTTGTTTGTGTGGATGCCGTGGCCTGGTACCGGTCTACGGATCGGGGGTTGGGGACCCCCGCTCTAAACTTTATTTCATCCTTAAGAGATCAGGGTGTACTGAAATATCACTCAGGTTGTACTTGCATTCAGATTGCATTCTGGTTAAAGAGTCAGGGATCGGTTGAATTAAGTTCGAAATCTCTATAGAGATAGTCCTCAGTTTACAACCATTTGTTTAGCGGCTGTTCAAAGTTACAGTGGCACTAAAAAAAGTGACTTACAACTGATTCTCACACTTATGACCATGCAAGCATCTGCCTGGTCACCTAATCAAAATTCAGGCACTTTGCAACCAGCACGTTTTAACAACGGTTGCAGCATCTCGGGGGGGGGGGGGTATCACAGGATCCCCATTTGCAACCTTCCCAGATGGCTTCCGACAAGGAAAATCAATGATGGGAAATTGGATTTGCTTCACAACTACACGATTCACTTAACTGCAGTTATTTGCTAACCAACTTGTGGCAAAAAAGATCGTAAAATCGGGTACAAGTTGTTTAACCACCTGCTCAGAAATGGGAATTATGGTTTCAATTGTGGTCGTAAGTTGAGGACTACTTGCAAAAGAAATTTGCCAACGAATACTTTTAATGTAGTTACTGTTTTTCATTTGGCATGCCTTAAGGGGAGAAAAAAGTATCAGAACACATGCTCTTTCCACTTGTGTAGCAATTCCCATCATCTTGTGGTGTCCCTTGTTTGCCAGCCAACCTGAGGAATGCTCGGTCTGTTCAAGTATTTTACATGCACGATATGTCTTTGCATGCTTATTGGATAGAACGCCACCAGCAGAGTGTGCTGCAGCATCCATAGGTTAGTTCAGGGGTAGGCAACCTTGGCTCTTTTATGACTCATGGACTGGCTCAGGAATTCTGGGAGTTGAAGTCCATGAGTCATAAAAGAGCCAAGGTTGCCTACCCCTGGGTTAGATGCTGAGAGGACAATAACTGCAGATGTTGCATCTGCCTGTAGATTTATAAAACCTGCACAGCTTTTCTCAAATTCAAATTTTGGATCGGGTCTATAAGAATTTGCCGCAGCCAGCTCACCACGGCCAACTCGCACAGCTAACCTGCCGCCGGACATATCATCGTGGGACAAGAATTACACTAACAACAAAGAAATGATGGTATAGAATCATTAAAGAAAGGATGCAAATGGAGGAAAAGAATGAAATGCGAATGATAAAAATTGAAATATATTTTATTTATTTTAAATAATTGGATTTTTAAATTGTCCCACGACGAGTTGTCTCATGGCAAGTTGGCCGGGGCAAGTAGTCCTGCAGTGAGTTGGCTGGGGTGAGTTAGCTGTGGCGAGTTGTCCCATTTCGCAGTTTCTCCATCCAAGGAAGCTCTATCCTCAGTTAAATATGGGTCTTCTGTTAAATAACGTTTTGATTAAATGGTGAAGATTTGTGAATGCTTACATGAATGTGTGTGCCTCTGCATGTTTATACAGCAAACAGTTTTATCTTTTATATATAGATGATGATAATGGTTTAGACCAGGGTTTTCTAAACTGACGTTTGTAGGGGAGGTACATGAAGATTGTACTACTGTAAAGGAAGGAAGATGTGATTGCAAAAACTTTAGGAATCCCTGATTTATCCAAAAAGCATAATATGAACAGACAAAAAGGGGTATAAATGGAAATGGCAGAAGTAATCCAAGTGTACATATTCCCTTAAACTTAACCAATAGGAAGATAGACTTTGAAGGTGTAGAGCTATTTCTTTAGCATTTCTAGAACCTGTCAAATTAAGAGTTGAGGAAATATGCAGTATTAATCCTATAAACCCAGTTATCTACAACATTCTTTGAATTATGAGCAACTTCTGGCCCTTATAGATTGACCCTGATTTACTTTGGTCAAGAATGAAACTGGATTGCTTATATTCTAGCAACAACCCATTTCTTTCTTCTGTGGAGGGTGGCTGCCTATCAGTTATCTGTTCAATTCTAAGCTAGATTTTACAATATGATGCTGTCCAGATGTGTTAGTGAAGAAGATTAGAAATTATGGAGATCTTGACCCTTATATTGCTAATGAATTTTTTAGCCTCTAAAATAATTTTTATAGGTTCTTATAAGTTTTGTCTTTTTACTAACTGGTCAATTAGTCCTTTGTGATGATAAACTGTTTTAAAGAAAAATTGTATTTGGGAACTGTTACATATCATTATATATTTAAGGTGGAAATCTAACCATGAATTTATCTGTTGGCTTTTAATTTTGCCCTTTCACCAAGTCTAGAAAATAAAATTCACTTTCACCAAATAATATGTGAACTGTAGGCACTTCAAACAACATTTATTTATAAGCAATTCTGAGATATGTTATACAGAGAGATTTGCTATTCAAAACTGTTTGGAAAGAGGTTTTTGTTAAATTTTGTGGCATTTAAATGGTAATTTTTATTAAATTTATTTTATTATTGATTGTTCATTGATTACATGCCATCAAGTTGATGTTGAACTCTTCGCAATTACACAAATATATTTTATAATATAAATATATTTTATTATATAATCTTATAATAAGAGTACTTATCACTATCCAAAATCTCTCATGTTCTGGAGCATGAGAGCTTTACATACAGTAAAGTATAACTTTTACAGGAACATTATAAATGTGCTAGAAAGCACACTGAAGAAGAGATACAAATTAGAGAATTTCAGTGGAATTTGGTTTTCTTTCCTTAGTTTTCCAGGGTTGAATTTTTGTTCTACTTAAATATTTGCTAATCTTCAGATAAATTCAGTAAAATGATATTTGAAAAGCCAGATGTCCTATTGGAGCCTTGCAATTAATATTTTTGTAGAACTTAAAAGTTTCCTTCAAAACAATTGCTCCATCATTTGCACTATAGTTATTTTCTTTTCTAAATGATTGGAAAACCTATGACTCATTATTCAATCTTAGGGTGTTCATAACATTAGCCCTGCTTCTCAATATTATATATTCATTATCTCATCCTTATTGGAGATTTTTTTATAACTGATTTTGGGGTTACCTTTTATGGAGTGCATTAAAAAGACCAATGAAGTGGATGAAATTATATTCATGGCACATTAAGACTGAAATTCCATGCTCAATTATGTAGGAGTAAGTTAATTGAATTTAGTGGGACTTCTGGTTAGACTTTAAATTAGCTTGAAATGATGTTTTCCTCCCTTTTTTTTACACAGGTTAACATGGCCTTTTTGTGAAAAGTCAGGAGTATAAAAAAATAGGTACTAAAAGAGAATATCCTGCAGACTTTAAGTCTCAGAACCATCTCAAAGTGTGCGCTTCTTCTATTTGCTAGAATATGTTTGCCTGAAGACACTGATAAAAACTGGTTTGTGTCCTTATCATAGTGTTATTGACAAAAGTGGAAGAAGCTAGAAGATAATTTTTGATATGTTTAGCTAGATTGCTGATATCAGAGATGGTTGAATATATTGTTTGATTAGCTCAATCAGCAATCTATTAGAGAAGCTAATTTTTCCTTTACTTTAAATACAAACTCTGATCAATTATTTAGAAAGGAGAGAAAAAGAACAGTCCCTTGTAATGAATTTTAATCAGGAGAGACTGTCTTTCAAACAGTCTTTGCAATTAACTCTGCAGATAGTCTGAGATCAAAGATGTTGTTTAAGTATGTAATATGTCTGTTACAAGCCGTTGCTGGATATACCCCACTGAATTTAATAGGAATTCTGTGGTTGTTGCTGTCCATGTCCTCTCTATTCTTCCCATTTTTCATTTAAACTCTTCATTATTGTGCTATTTTTATTGTTTTTTAATGCAGGTTCCTTACAGTTCAGAGATTTGGTTGTAGACAAATTTTAAAATAAACAAGTGAACTATAAATTTAGATTCATTATTTTAAAAGAGAATTTCTTATTAGCGCCTTCTTGACTAGAAAGACTGCTACCGTTTCTTGGATATTCAGTATTTGCTTAATGTTTTGTATTTCAAGGATTTGGGCAGAAATTTACAGCACTTATAAATCCAGACCATTTCTCTTTTTGTAATTCCTGGAGCTGAGCTTGAGAGGATCTTGGCAACAGGCTAAGAACAATCTATAGGTAGTCCCTGACTTACAACTATTCTTTAGTGACTGTTCAAAGTTACAACAGCACTAAAAATAGTGGCTCTGTCAGTCATTATTCCTCGCACATGACTTTTGCAGCGTCCTCATGATCACATGATCAAAATTTGGGCATTTGGCAACTGGTATGTATTTATGATGGTTGCAGTAGAATGGAGTAATGTAATTGCCATTTGCGATGTTCTCAGCCAGCTTCTGACAAGGAAACCCAATGGGAAAGCTGAATTTGCTTAACAACCATGTGATTCACTTAACAACTGCAGTGATTCTCTTAACAACCATGCAAAAATGGTTGTAAAATTGGGCAGACTTACTTAACCACTGCTTTGCTTAGCAATGAAAATTCTTGTCCCAATTGGGATCATAAATTAAGGACTATCTGTAGTTGATTGAGCCAGTTGAATCTGACTTGTGGCAGCTTACACTATTATAAGATAAATAAAAAACAAAAACAGAAAACCTTTGGAAGAACACCTCCATCAGTAGGTTAAACCCTCCTCTGTCTTATTATTCCCTGCAGCTCTTAAGCTGTGGAAGAATACTAGGTGACTATCATTAAATGCTTATAAGAAATACCATCTTAGAGTAATTTAAGGAACCAAGAAGAAATTGGGGCATCTGAAGGCAAACATAAGAAGGAGAGATGTGATTTTTTAAAAAAAAGTTTTTCAGTGTGGGTGTTATTAATGGCCGCTTCATTTAAAAATAAACAGAGCAGAAAGTTCTTCAATTCATTTATTTAACTTGTGAAAGAAACAGTACTCAGCAAATGAGAGAGCCAAGGAATCAATACTTTTACACTTTTCAAGCCTCCTCCTTGAAGCTTTCAAAGGAGGCTGTCATTCAGTAGAAGTCTGATGTTGCCTCTGCCAGGATGAAGGACCTCAAACACTCAGAAAAAGAGGGAGTGATAGAGAGAGAGAAAATTGTGCATATCTCTTTCTTTGAGTGATTCCATCAGGAGACAGAAAGAAGAAAATTCTGATTACAGGGGCCTATGTAAAGGCTACTTATATAATGTTGGGAATTCTGCTTTTTTTCTTATTTGGCAAGCTTCAGGAGGCGTTGCATATCAGGCTCAATACTGCTAGTGAGGAACTTGGAGCTGTAGCGCTTGAAAGGTTCTCCTTCAGGTCCCACCAGGAACTTCTCAAAGTTCCAGGAAATGTCGTAGCGATGCACAGGGCTCCACAGGATGAACTTTGGCTCCAACATGAAGCAGGAAGGATCGTCATCTGGGTAAGGGAGTTTATCCTTCAGGTAGGCAAAGACAGGGTGGGTGTTGTTGCCATTCACCTCACACTTCTGGCAAAGAGTAAAATTGGGTTCAAACCCAGATCCGGGCCTCACATATTTCAAGCTATGGAGGATCTCTTCATTTGTGCAGTTCTCCTGTTTGGGAGGAAGTAGAAAGCAGGATGAGAACTAAAACTTCCTGCATAGGAGACAAAGTTGGCCTCTCCCTTGCTTGTCTTGAGGGCATCAGTGTAGTGTGTATTTTGTACTGATTCTATCCTCAGATACAGGTTTCTTGCCCTGGGGTCCTTCAGGTAACTTCTGGGAAAGAAGTGAAACAATTGAGGTGCAATATCCTGAGATGAGGTCAGGGAAGAAAAAGTGATGAACTGTGTTAAAATTCTTTCCCACAAGGGCAAGGAAAGATGAGATGCACAACATTCTAGAAGAAGCTCCTTAAAATTAGATGTGGGGATAAGTAATCTCAAACACTCAAGGTAGAGGATAAGTACACAAAAAAGATGTACTATAGATAATATATTAAAGACTCAGATTTCCAGATTCAAGACTCCGCTCAGCCATGGATCTCACTTGGTCAATGGAGCAGTCCCTAATTCTCAACCTACTTCCTGGGGAGTTTTGGGAATAAAATGGGTAATGGTATCTCCTTTCTCCCCAGGCATTCTGCCTTGAGCTCTCAGTAGAAAGGTTAACCACTGTAATGTATTAAAAAGACTGCTGTGATTGTTGCGATTTTCAGAGATGTCCTGAAACTTTTTGAAGTTATGTGAATTGAGCAGCAGACTGCTGAATATGCCTTTACACCTGAAGGTGTGTATGCAAATCAGATGTTTGCTCCTAGGGAGATCACTGAGTAATGTTTACATGTTCATTCACTTGGAGAAAGTACAGGTAATCCTTAACTTACAACCATTTATGAAACCAACCATTTAATGCGACAGTTTGAAGTTAAACTGGCACTGAAATAAATTACTTATGGCTGTCACAACATCCCCATGGTCACATGATCAAAATTTGGGTGCTTGACAATGCCTTGTATTTATGACAGTTGCAGTATCCTGGGTCATTTGATCCTCATTTTGGACCTTCCCGGCCACATCAACAAGTAAAGTCAACGGGGGAATGCTGGATTCAGTTAACCAACCACCACATTTCATGGACACAAAATTGGAAAAGGTTGCCTGAGATCATTTGGTTCAAGAGTGATGTCCAGAGGAGTAAGGTTAACCAAAATTATAATTTGATCTTAGTTGAATAATACACATTTTAAATAGCACTTTCTTTGCTCTTAACAAAACTCTCCTTTCAGAAACAGGGGAAATGTTTTAAAAAACCCATATTTGTGTAAAAGAACATAGATAGCAGAGGCAGCACATTGTCTGCTTGATTAATGAACTTTGTGTTGCATTCTGGGGCATCTTGTTGCTCTCTTTTAAGAATCTTGCACTGTTAAATAACCTATTAAACATAATTCTCTGTCTACCACCCGACTCTTTCAGATGCGTAACATCCCAGCAAGGGGAAATGAATATGTCCATTATAGAATACATGTGTTATCTCATCTTCCTATTGTATATAGTTTCCGCCTTTCCCAGCTCCCAATTAATGAGTATAGGATAAAAACCCTGGTTTTTCTAAAAATGTAAGAACTCAAGAAAAATGATTTCACAATGGAAGAGAAACTGATTTTGCAGTTGCAGAAGAAAAAGCCACTCATTGCCACAAAAAGTCATGAACGGAGACTGAATTAAGGGACTTACCTGGTAACCAAACTGGTTGCAAGGAAAACCCAAGACAACCAGCCTCCGAGGGTATTTGCTCTGCAGCTGATTCATCTGGGTGTAATCCCTCACTGTGGTGGCTCAGAAAGAAGCCACGTTCTCTATCAAAACCACTCTTCCCCTGAAATGGTTGAAATCCACTTTCTCCCCTTGGAGATCAGTGGCACTGAGATCATAGAAAGATTTGGCTATGGGAGTCGTCATTGTGTAGTAGACCAAGTGCACCAAAAGGACAGCAACGCGAGATGCTTGCAGATACGGCTATCTGTTTCAAATGCTCTTCTCTATACTCATGTGTTTGGTTGCACCAAGCAGCCTTTCTTCACAGGGTAGTGTCTGCAGAGAGTGGAGCCCCTCCTTGTTAATCATCTAACTCTTTCCTGATTGGGAACAAAGCAGCAGGTCAGGGTGATATCAGTTCTACTGCAACCTAAGCCACTGTGATACTTTGGACAATCCTCAATAATTCATGCTGCTTACAACAAAACCGGATCGATGGAATCCATGAGATGCGACAACTTTTTCCTTTTATTTTAATTTTTCCAAAGAAAAGTGGAAGTCAAGAAAAAATTGGCTGCCTTTTTAAAGTCATATAAGTTACTATGTGGATAGACAGCTAGGAGTTTTATCCTAGTACTACCTTTGGCTCAAGAGGTAGCAACCTGGAGTTCAACATTCTTAGAAGATACTATTTGAGACTATAAACCAGTGATGGCGAACCTTTTAGAGACTGAGTGCCCAAACTGCAACCCAAAACCCACTTATGCATCGTCGGGTGCCGGGTGGGCATGGCCCATTGACTGGGTGTGGCCCATTGGCTGGGTGTGGCCAATTGGGGGGGTGGCCCATTGGGTGGACGTGACTGTGGTAGTAACGGCAGACTGGGTGGGACTAAAAAGTTCAATCAATTCCAACTTTGCAAGATCTTTTTTTCCCCGTGAGAAGTTGAAATTGACTGATTGAACCTTTTTTTTTTTTTTTTGCACATGGCGGCGGAGGCCTAAAGCGAAAAGGTTTTATAAAACCCAGCTGAAGGCCTAGGACTGGGGCGATGGCACGCGTGCCCACAGAGAGGCCTCTGAGTGCCGCCTCTGGCACCCGTGCCATAGGTTTGCCACCACTGCTATAAACAAACAAACAAAACAAAGCGTGGTTGAGTGAGAGGCATTGCCTCTAAGGCACTGATTAGACTTGGGTTGATAGAAATGCAGAATGCTGGACATTTAGGGGTATCCAAAGAAAGCAGATTCTGGAGCGAGATTATTTCCTAGGGAGAACATCTCTTTTTATGAATATATGTGGGAGCCATTCTTGAGGTTGTTCTGAGGAACCACTCCATTGGAAACTGCTGAAAAATATCTATGAAGTGTTTCATAATAGTCACATTTTTCTTGGCCTTCCTACAAATAAAGAACTTGCATGCCCCATATGACTGAAATTATTTAAAGGGAAAAATAAAACAGCTGCTTCATGACAAAACATGTCCTTGATATGGACAGCCAGTCAATCTCCTGCAGGGCCATCCAGCCACTTGACTGATAGTTTATTTTGATAGCATCAACAATTACTAGCCATATAGATACAGCTATAAACCATTTATGACAGATATCTGGTCGTTTTGCATTCAATAACAAAATGTTTTAGTGAAAAAGATTAAAATATTTGTTTGCATCTGTTGTTATCTTCTTATGAAAAAACGATTTCTACATATATTCCATGTATATTTCTTATTTATATATTTTGAATAAACTGAAGATGGATGGTGAGCTTCCTTAAATTGAAGACTGAAAATTGCCCTGTTCTGAGAATTACAACACATCTGAAAAGAAAAATGACACATCCTCTTTTCTAGCCAGATAATGAGAGCCCTTCTGCTTTTCCTGGCACAAGAACATGCACTGAATTATTAACCATTGGATCAGATTCCCGGATTGCTCAGGCAGGGAGAGGGAAGGCATGTAACCAGAGCCCAGTAATCAGATATGATTTTCTAAAGAGGGAGGAAAGCAAACTCGTATTAATGCAAGTTCCACCAGTGCCAAGGGGACAGCATTCTGAGAACGTGAGGACAAAGGGCCATTTTGCCCAAATACCAGTTACATCCACAACAATTGTTGAGTTCACATATTGTGCTAAGTGTTTGCTTCAGTAATGGTTCATATAACAAACCATAATGGTCTGCTCGTTGCCAAACTACAAGCCATAAACCAGATTGTAAAATTCTTATCAAAATAAATGTCATAACAATTAACAGCAGCCTTCCCTTCTCCTAGGGTCAGGCACTCATTTTTCTTGTATATATCTAGCTTCTGCGAATCACTCTGGATCATATTTTAACTAAGAGAAGGCTAAGGCTCATCCAAGGTAGCAATAAATCTCCTACTGTATAGACTGTACAGTTATATTTACAGAATGTGAAGTACCAACATGATTCAAGGGTGGATGTCATTGATTTTAATCATTCAACTTCTGGCAGGTGTAGTTTAAATGGGGAGAATATATTTCTTTCTGCAATGTATTCTTTTAAACAACCGTGCTGGAAACAGGTGTCTTAATCCAAAACACTTTCAATCATTGGTGCTCACATATTTGAGCATTAGCCTAATCCACTGATGGCGAACCTTTTAGAGACCCAGTGCCCAAACTGCAACCCAAAACCCACTTATTTATTTATTTATTTATTTATTTATTNTATTTGTCAAATTTTAAAATATAATTAAAACCCCCCTAAAAATTACCCTAGGCCAGTCCTGCAAGCTGGAATAACCAAGTCTTGAGGGCGCGGCGAAAGGAAGGGAGATCAGGGATAACCCTGATCTCTGGGGGCAGTTCATTCCAGAGGGTGGGAGCTCCCACAGAGAAGGCCCTCCCCCTTGGGGTCGCCAGCCGGCGACCGGGTGCCGGGTGCCGGGTGCCGGGTGGATGTGGCTGCGGTGGTTATTGCAGACTGGGTGGGCGGGGCCAGGGCGGCGGAGGCCAGTCCCTCACCATCTCCGGGGCACGGCATGCATGCCCACAGAAAGGGCTCTGAGCGCTGCCTCTGGCACATGTGCCATAAGTTTGCCACCACTGACCTAATCCTTGTGGGCTCCTGAACAAGGATCATTGTATTGTTTAGGTTGTACTGATGCATGAACCTGGCTTCCTCACTTCCAAACGGAGTTTTGTTTTGGTTCATCTCTTATGTCAAAGAACCCATTTGTGGTATGAATTAAAAAACAAACAAACGTTATTATGCATCATTATTCTAAATACACTGGGGAAGGTTTGCAGCTTCATCTCCCTGTGCTTCAAGTCAGAACTCCCAGAACTGAATTCCATTCTTAGTGGCCTCCAGAAGATGGTTTTTGTTTTTAAGAAAGGCAATTGAAATGGGAAATTACTAGACAGATGACAAGTGTAATCATACTACTCTTTTAGTTAAAATATTTGTAAGTGAATTGAGTTTAGTTCAGCTCTCCCCACTACATTAGGAAACACATACAACTGAAAGACGAAGTGCAGCCCTTGAACTAGAAAGCATTGCAGAACCCTCCTCTGAATGAAGTTCTCATAAGCATATCAGTATTGGATTAATTTGCTTCTAAGGAAATATGAGAGCCGCCAACTACTTTAAGGATCTTTATTTGTAAATGTTTTGTTAATTTGTTGTTTAAAGTAATGAATTACAATGACAGGTTATACGAGGAAACCCAGTCAGAGTGCCAAGTTCACAAAATACAGACACAGCAGAGGATTCAGAAAGTTGTACATTTGGCTGGATCCCATGACAAATTATGTGCAACTCTTTCTGCTACAGGCAGAAAGGTTCCTATGGCCCATGACTTGCAGGACAGAAGGAGCCTCAGAATACTGGATAGTGTTACCTTTTTCAGAAACCAGCCCATTTCCCTTCCCAGGTAGTGGCCTGAAATCCACTTTCATTCTAATTAGCCCCCCCCAAATATTCATATTGAGTGGGATATGTTTGCTTTCAACAAGTTGTCAACAACTCAGATTGCAGTTTTCCAAACCAGGGATTGGCAACCAGGCTGGCTAGGGTTGATGGGCTTTGTATTCCCATCAAGCGACATCTGGTTACCTACAACTGTCCAGATGCTAAAAACATGACTTAGTTTGCTCAGGGTTGAAAACTAGAAATTTCACCAACAGTTGGGTGACATTGGTGAACTTTAGGTAGTGAGAACCCACCTACTTCCATCAATGGACAAAAAGCTTCATGCGCTCCTTTCTCTTGTCTCACTTTCAGAACAGACAGAATTTAATGTGTGGTCAATTATGTGCATTGATAGCAGCATCAGCAGCTATGCTCTCAGTTCCTAAATAGAGCAAGCAGATCAACATGCTGCTAAATTGCAACAGGCAGAAAAGGCTACTGGGGCCATTCCACGGATCTCCCCAAGGACCAATGCTCTTATTTCCATGTGAGCTTGAAGAACATGGTTCTTCAAAGCTTTGGCAACTTGCAGTGCTGCCCAATCCCTTCAGTTACATAGCTCTCCTTCGTAATTTTAGGCAGGCCTTCTTGAAATGAATGAATTGCAAGTTTTAAAGAACCGGGAACTGCTTTACATATTTTAGTAACCAGCTAGGTAGACACTATCTGATTTTTGCTTTGCTTTAATTCCTATCTCAAACTGTACTGGGCATGTCATCCCACATAACCTTTCCATAGTACAGATTTAGAAGCAGTCTTTAATAAAAACTGCCAATTGTACTCACCAAGGATAAGCCTGTTCACCATCAAGGCAGGGAAGAATTGGGCGGGGGAAGGATAGTCATCAGGCCTTGGGCAGTGAGCACATTTGAACTGGCCTTCAGCCTTCATTTAACTTTTCAAACTCATTATATAGACAAAAGCAACTAAGAGCAAATAATGCTCCAAAGAAGTAGCCCAATTACGTTTTGAAAAAGATACATTAAAATAATAATAATAATAATAAATGCTTTTTCTTCAGTCTGTCCCATTTTCTTCGGTCTTTTCCTTTTTCCTCTGCCATGACAGACTTCTAAGTTCTCAGACCCTATTCACTATAACCTGACCTTTACAACATACTTTGGGTCCTAATAAAGCTACAATAAATTAATAGCTATGTGTATGTCTGTGTCTACAATTTCTCAAGTATCAAACTAGTTCTGGCAAGAAGTAGTTCCCCTGTGAAACCAGCAACCATTAATCTTGTAGCCTCCCTCAGCAATCTGTGGCACAAGAGTCCTTCTGCCAGTAACAGGCACCGTTGGGTAGAATATCAGTGTTTCCACTTATTGTAATGGCTTGATACCTGTTCAAATCCATCCAACCCAAAGAAAGAGGTCAAACTAGCTATTTGCAAATAACACTGGTGAGAGCTTTTTCAGAGCTTTAAGACCCTCTACTTTTCAGGGAGATTGGAGAGGGGGATTTATGACCCTCTAGGAACTGAACTGTCCCAGTAATCTCAGGTGGCATAAACAGGGAGGCTTAAAACTCTTGTTCAGTAACCAGTCTAGAAGACCCCGGGTTCCTTGTTCTTGACTTACATCATGTCAACCAGCATTATTTCCACGCTATGGCATTCTCATTGTTCCCGTCTTTCACTACTTGATGCAGCTTCCCCCTTTCCTTGCTAGAGCAAGACAGTCAATTCCAATATACAGAAGAAGGAAAAGAGCAAAGGAATATAGCTTTTGTTAGAAAGGGACAGTTTATCTAGCAGGAACTACCACAATATCCATTTGGAATGGACCGAACGGCTTTGGTTAAAGTCATATGCTAAAGGCCAAGTAAAGAAGGACTCTCAAACTATCATTCCACATCACCCAAAGCCTCCAGTAAACACCTGCTCTTTGTGGAATATCAGCTATGGTCCATTTCTAGTACATATATAAGAGAGGTATCTTAGCAGCTCCATGGTTTTGGCACACAAGGAACTGCTACCCTGGAACAGGCGGCTTATAGAGTACCAGGCATGCCACTGAATGTGCTTGGTGGGGCTTCCCCCCACCAAGCAAGTAAATGCCAAGACAAGAGGGCAATGCTGGTGCAACATGCAGAGGGGCTGGTTTTAGTCTGTTGTAACTTAGCATGTTAGTGGCACATGGCAAAAGCCTCCCTGCCCTCCGAATGTACTAGATTAAATTTCAGGAGCTTGCAGAGAAAATTCTAAAGAGAGGACATAAATGGGTTTAGAGCAAGCTTCTTACAAGTTAGACCTTGAAAGCAAGAAATGATAAAAGTTCTGATGTACAGATTACAGAACCTGTTCCTTGATCAGAGCTCCAGCAGATTGTGGGGAAATCATTCAAAGGAGGCAACCAAAGCCAGACCTGGGCATAGGCCACAGAGAGCGGAATTTCTGCTTCCGCTGGTCCAGAGGGGTTAACTTAAGTAGATACCTGATTGACTGAGGTCCTCCAAAAATACACAGAATCGAAAGCTTCCTGTAAGTTTTTGGAGTTAATCACAGGAAAGGGTCTTCCTGATTGCCCTTTAACAGAGAGCTCTAATGTAGTCTAGAATGAAAATCTAGCCTGGGAAGAGGCAAACCTTGTTAAAAGCTAAAGGTGCAAATTTACCCATATGATCCCTTTTGTTTAGGGACAGGTTCTCTCCTGTTCCCAGTGCTGCAGCTTAGCAGAACAAGAGGTCTTTTTTTTTTTTTTTTGCTGAAATGAATTTCAGGGAACCCAGTATCAGAAATAGGAAGGTTGCACCTAAAGCAGCTGGAAAGCCCCAAGTGCAATGCTGCACAAGCATTTGGACAATCCAGAAACGGGATGGCAAAGCACGTGGAGGAAAAGAGCCATCTACAGGCCTGCTATAGAGGATATGGCTGGAGGACAGTGAATGGGACAGAGAGACTCCTTCTCCCGCTCTTAGGGAGCAGGCCTAGCCCCAAGCAGGCTACCCCACAGAAATAGGCAAGGCTTCAGAGAATCTGGAGTCAGATGAATTATTGGACAAGCCTCAGCCATGACTGCTAACCACAGCTCTCCCATGAAGACAGCAGGGTCACGTTCTGCATATTGTGAGCCATCTGAAGGTATTTGGATCCAGGGAGTTTGAGGGCAACAGAAACTACCAATCAAGGAAAAACACCAGGAAAATGCAAAGAGGATCCCACAGGGCAGATGGCGGGCAAACAGGCAACCAAAGACAAGAGGGATAGAGTACAGCGAGTCAGCCCTCTCTAAGTGGCAACTTTTCTACCTGCACTGGGGGTGTGGGGAAAAAAGGATGCTGGGAGGCTTTCAACACCAGCAGGTTTTGGGAGAATGCTCTGAGCCCTCCGGCTTGCTTGCTTCTTCTTCCAGCTCGACCACATTCAGTTCATCAGCTGCGTAAGTGCGGAGTCCTTCCAGTTCCTTCTTGTGAGCCTGCAGGACCAGCTCTGTCAGACGGGTGAAAGACTGAAAAAGAGGGGCAACCAAGAGGTTTGTTTTTTTTTAAACTTGTTTATTTATTGCTAGATTTTTACCCTATCTTTATTTCTTTACTCAAGGCAGAGAACATACCTAATACTCCTTCCTCCTGCTGTTTTTTCCACATCAACCCTGTGAGTTGGGTTGGGCGGAGAGAGTGACTGGCCCAAAGTCACCCAGTTGGCTTTCATGCCTAAGATAGAACTAGAACTCAGAGTCTCCTGGTTTCTAGACCAAACTGCTATCTGGGTGACTGTGGATGTTTAGAAATAAATGAACTTGCTACTTAAGCTAGTTAGGACTAAGTCACCTACTTGAGCACTCATTTTAGACTCAAACATACTTAAGAGTTCCTTTTTTCACGCTGTATATATCAATATTCTATAATATATTATACATGTATTTTGTTTTTTCCTTCTCAAAAGGAAGGAAGGCTTTTTACCATTTATGGTGGATGTGTGACAAAGCAAGAAAATATTGGAGCAGGATTCATATGTTAATACAGACAATCCTTAAAATGAATATAGAAAGAAAACCAGAGACTTTTCTTTTGGGGCTAATGGACAAAAACTTGGGAAAAAATAGGGAACCTTGATGTTATATATGTTGACAGCAGCAAGAGTACGCTCAGAAATGGAAGACTACGTCGATTCCCACAGCGGAGGAATGATTGCAAAAACTGATGGAATTAGCAGAGATGGCTAAATTGACTGGACTGATTAAAGAAAATAATACAAATACTTTTACTGATATGTGGAAACAACTTCTCGACTTTGTGCTCACGGTGGAAAAAAATGAAACTTTGGTTTTGGGCTTTACCTATTAGCTAGATTTGATGTTATTGAAACGTTTAGTTTATATTATTTTGTAAAAGTAAAAAGTTGAGGTTTGATGTTGATATTCTATTTTACTGCACCAAAGGAAGTTGGAAGACAATGCCTTTTCCCCCCTCTTCCTTCCCTCACTTTCTATTCCCTTTTTTCTTCTCTATCTTTTCCGCTATTTACTTTTGTATTTTCATTGTATTGTATATTATAAACTAATAAAACTTATATGTAGAACAGAAGGAAGGAAGGAAGGAAGAAAGAAAGGAAGAAAGAAAGAAAGAAAGAAAGAAAGAAAGAAAGAAAGAAAGAAAGAAAGAAAGAAAGAAAGAAAAGAAAAGAAAAGAAAAGAAAAAGACTTATAATTAGAAGACAAAGTTGTCTTGGTGTTCATTAAATTTTAGTGACCTGGAAAACCCTATCTTAACTTCTTACCTCTTACCCCAAATTCTTACCTCTTTGATGTTCAAGTTGGTACAGGCACTTGTTTCATAGAAATCCATGCCATATTCCTTGGCTAGCTGAAAGACAAAATAATAACGATTGACATATAAACCCAATGAGGGCTAGTATATTTTTCTACTACTATCTTCAAATCTACCTTTCCACCTCTATTTCACCTCCAAATCTAAGAAACCCTACTTATAGAAGGTAAGAACAATATTCTCCCACAGCTTGTACTGTATGTTATTAATGTATGGTTAGAAAACTGGTTGATCAAGATCTCAGACACAGACCTCAATTCATTTTTAATAAAACAACGATTCACCCAATTTAAAACAAAATATATAGGAGATCTATATAGAAAAGATAGCAGGTTCCTGATTTCATTTCTATAGACTTGTATATCATGACGTTAAATTGCTTTCCGTTGCTTTTATTTGATGGTTCTCACCCACATAAAATATATCTACATATTTAAGTATGATGAGGGCTTCATATAGAGGCGGTGAGAAAAATATTCCTTACATGCTAATTTTCCATGAGGAGGGAAGTTCTTTTGTATAGAATGTCATTTAGTGCCATGAGCTGCTTGGACTAATGCAGTTCAGCTGACAGGCTAGTAGTCCATCACCCTAATAAATGTCTGGCTTCTATAACTGGACCTGCCTATGATTTTTACCTGGAGGCCTTGCTCTCGGCCCACCTGCCTCTTCTGCTCTTCATCTGCTTTATTCCCAATAAGGATCTTCTGGACACCATCTGGAGCATACTGGAAAGGATATGAAAGTCTTTAGTCCTTTTCTATCTGCATTGCTAAGTAAGAACTGAGCTGAAAAGTATTGCTCATTTTTATTTATTGCCATTCTTGTGCTTTGCATACAGAGGAGAAAAATCACAGGACCAAATATTTTTATTTCTGCACCATCCGATAATATTCTTCATCTCACAAGCACCTCAACTTGTCCTAGAAGCAATGGGCTTCAAAGACCCAGAATATAACTAAGCCTCCAGAAGGTTAGCCAAACGAATGAGCTCCCACATTTAATTCCCTGCATCAGGTCACAAAACCTTCATTCCAAACTGATTAAATTTTCCCTTAAGTTCACTCAGAAGGCAGCAAATTATTTCACTGAAGGGGGAGCAGAACATAAAAGGTCTCTCAAGTTATCGTCTACACTACACTGATTTGGTACACCGGATGAGAATTATGTGGCCAATCCTGAGGCAAAATGGAAAATATACAGTATTACAAGCTATGCTTGTACACCTTTGGAAAAGATTTCTTCGGGGAAAAGTCAGAGAACATCCCTCTGTGCAGAAACAGTCAGACATTCCTTGATTTACAACCAGTCACTTGGTAACTGTTTAAGGTTACAACGGATCTCTAAGTTCTTATGACCAGAATTCAAAGTTCTGATGGTCTCCTCCTAAAGGTCATGTGACCGCGCTTCAGGTGCTCTCAATACCCAGGCTGCATTTATAGCTGTTTGCAGCATCCCAGTCATGTGACCACGTTTTACAACGGCTTTACCAAAACCCAGCATTTACTTATGGATTTTGGCAAAGCTGCCCCATAGTGAGCCACTGGTTTGTTAAATGACCACAGTTTGCTTTACAATTGTGATATTTACTTAACAACAGTCACAAGAAAGTTCATAAAATTGGATCATTCACTTGGGTGTTCCGATTTACAACCATCACGAGTTACGACCATGGTGGCAGGATTCATTGCAGTTGTAACTAGAGGATTACCTGCATAGCCATTTGGCCACAACATTCCCCAGCAAACCTCCCCCAGTAAATTTGCCAACAGCAAGGGAATGTTTCTACTTACTTCGTCCACATCGCTGGCCCATTTCATTATGTGCTGATATGAGCGCTCACTGCTAATGTCGTAAACCAAAAATATCCCCTGCAAAGAGAACCAGGTAAGGGAGCAAAATGTGAGCATCACGCAAAGTGAAAAAGAAAAGGGACCTTTACTCAGAGGAAAATAAATTTACTATTAGGTCACATCCTAATATTTATCTCAAAAAACGAGCACAAGAAAGCATTTGGGGAATGATACATTAATATAGAGGGTAATGGAGCCAGTTTGAGGCAGCAGGTTAGAAACCGGGAGACTATGAATTCTAGTTTCACCTTAGCTATGAAACCAGGTGGGTGACTTAGTGTAATCACTCTCAGTCCTAAGAAGAAATCAAGAGCAGCAAATCATTTCTGAAAATCTTGCCAAGAAAACTGCAGGGACTAGTCCAGGTAGTTGTCAGGAGTCAACACTGACTCAAAGACATGTGCGTGCACACATACACACACACACACACATATGCATGTGTTTAATATTATCTGCTGTCCTTTCAATGGATTAGACTGGAAGTGCAGGAAAATGCTTAACTATATACTGCATTAGGGACTGGACAGGATAGTCAAATTGTCATTGATACATACTGTAATTCTCAAGCCCATCTCCCAAATCTTCCCCAGAGCCTCTCAGCCTTTCTCCTAACATTCTAAAATTATATATGCTATTAGTTTGCAGTGAGGAAAAATGCAAACGAGTCTGACTGGCTACAGAAATACCCAGAACCTATTGTGAGACTACTCTGGTGCTCCAGCAACATCATTCCAGAAGGGAAAGAAAAAAACCACAGAGCTATAAGGTGTGTGTGTGTGTGGGGGGGGATTTCCCAGCATCCATGCATTTAAAAAAAAAAAAGAATTCATTTGTGTTAGAAAATATAATAAACAGAGAAATTATACTGCAATTTACAGTGTACAAATTACACTGTGATACTGTAGTTTTTCCACAGACTTCCATATTTCATCTATACTTTTAGCCAAAAATATCATACCTGGGCACGTCTGTAGTACTGTTTAGTGATTGTTTGGTATCGTTCCTGGCCTGCAGTGTCCCTGGAACAGAAGCAGATGTTATTATGGTGAGTGGAAACCTCACTTTTTGTGGGTAATACAATTTATGGCATGAAGTCAATTGCAGCATCCTACTGATAGAAAGCTCAACCTCAAAACTTCCCACAGATTTCAGGAAGAAAAGCGCAACAGCTCAGCAAAGTTAGGAATAATTTATTCTGTTGTTTTATTTATGGCATTTATATGCTGTTCCAAGCCAGTGTGCAAGAAGAATTAAAAGGGAGAAGATTTATAACAGCAATAAAAGCATTAAAATATTTAAGCACTGCTTATACACCTGCGGTAGTAGGAGCCAAATTATAAAGATGCTGAAATTTCTGAAATTCTGAGATAATGGGGATGGGTTCCCTATCTGAAGGAAGCAATGTCGTGGAAGAAGGTTGGTTTCAGAGATGTCACTGTATGGCATGTTTTAAAAGATCAGAGAACAAAGAGAAAACTAAAAGGAAGCAAAAGATGGAAAGCATGTTATCTGGACAAAGCTTTATCAATGCATCCTATTTATCCACTTCAAATTCTTCTCAAAAATCAACACATCTGTTTGCATGCAGCTTTGTAGAACTTCTTTGTTTTCAGATTCTAAAAGACAAATATTCCTGAGAAACCAACTGGTTTAAAAAGCAGAGTGAAGATTCTCTATAAGTACATAGAGAAGCAATGGGGTTGGCCCAAGGACTGGAGCAACCTGGATGTCAATGTTGGTTAAGGTTGATGTACACTTGGAGACCACCAAACAGAGGGAAGGGGAAAGATATGTGAACTGCCAGAATAGCTTGAAGAAAAATGCAGACAAAGAGGAGTTAGTTTGCCCACTCTTGTTTTAAGTCTGCTTGAAATGCTGGTTAGTTTGACCACTCTTGCTTTAAGTCTGTTTGAAACACTGGTGATCTATTTCTAAGCTTTAATGTTAAAATACTAATAGCCCTCAAGAAACTTTTTTTAGAAAAGAAATGGTGGTGAAGCCGGACTGGTGGACATATGGTAAAATAGTTTCTTTCAGTTCTGGAGACCCCATCCTCAAGTCTGGAGAAGAATTAGAATTAGAAGGTCACGCTTGTCACTGGTTTACATATCAACAAATGAAGGGAAGATTTAAACTAGACAAAAAAGGCCATGGTTTTGAGTTTGCTAAAAATGAATTGGAAATCCTACTATGTGGTAGTGATGATCATATAATTGCCAAGGTCTAAAAAAGGTTATTAAAACTGAATTTGGAAAATGAAAATGTAAAACACTGTATGATCCAGTGGGCGAGGAATTTTGGGTATAATGTGATGTTTGAACAATGGGAGAATATGTGGATAAAAGGATTAAAATTCACGTTAAATTATAAAATGTTGTATTGCTGGTATTTAACACCAGATAAGTTATCTAGACTGTATAAAGGTATTTCAAATGAATGTTGGAAATGTAAATGTAAAGAAAGGACTTTTTATCATTTATGGTGGAAATGTGATAAGGCAAAGAAATATTGGAGTAGGATTCATATATTAATGGAGAAAATTCTTAAAGTGAACATAAAGATTGAACCAGAAACTTTCCTTTTGGACCTAATGGAAAGAGAACTGGAAAAAAAATGGAACTCTGATTTTATATATGGTGATGGCAGCAAGACAGCTCTATGCACAAAAGTGGAAGGATGTCTCGATTCCTACCATGGACGAATGGTTACAAAAGCTGATGGAATTAGCAGAGATGGCCAAATTGACTCTGCTGATAAAAGAAAAGAACATATTTTCAGGGGGGAAAAGTGCGTGTTATACGCCAATAAATACGGTAAGTACTTTTGTTTCTACTTGGAAACTGCTTCTGGACTTTGTGCTTGAGGTGGAAAAAAATATCATGATTTTGGGTTTTAACGATTAAACTGATTTGTCGATACAGAAATGGTTGGTGCATACTACTATAGAAATGTAAAAAGTTGAGATTTGATTTTAATGTCTGATTTTAATACAACAGAGAGAGTCGGAATCAATGCCTTTTGTTTCTTCCCCTCCCTTTCTTCACACCTTTTTTGTTTTCCCCTTTTCTAGTGTTGTCCCCTACTATTTGCTTTTGTATTTTCACATTTTATATTATAAATGAATAAAACTAATTAAAAAAATACTAATAGCCAGAATTTTATTTATGTTTAAATATATATAGCCACTCATCTCAAATATATGACTCTAGGATGGTGATGGCGAATCTTTTAGAGACCAAGTGCCCAAACTGCAACCCAAAACCCACTTATTTATCACAAAGTGCCAGAGCTGCATCAGCATTGTGTTGCCCTCAGGAGGGGGCAGGGAGGCGCCTCTACGTGCCACCTCTGGCGCGCAAAACCCGGGGGCACAAAAATGGGCCACCGTGCTGCAAGGCGCAAAAATGGCCGCCGCCACACTGCGGAGTGCAGATATAAGGCACTGCACCATGCAAGAACGGGGCAGGGCTAGTGAGTATCACGCAGGCACTAGCCCCACCCCATTTGCAGTACATGCATGCACGCATGTAAAATGCTTCCCCCTCCATTTTCTTCCAGTCCACCAATCGACAATGGTTGGTGACCTCTGCTCTACCACCTCTACTCGAGCTTGCTAGTCGGCCATTTCACCTCCTTTGTGCTGGGTGGCGCGCATGCCAACAGAGAGGGCTCTGAGTGCTGCCTCTGGCACGCGTGCCATAGGTTCGCCACCACTGCTCTAGGAGGCTCACAGCAATTTATAAGAAATATAAAAAACAAAGCCAATACAAAAACAAAGGTATAAAACCATATAAAAACCATATGATGATTTAATGGTGGCGCAAGGACAATGGAGAGGTACTGAAATGAAAGCATAAATAAGCAAATAAACAAAACCAACCAATGCCAAACTTCTGCATATCGTGTCAAATACATTTGGTGCTTATTTCAGAACAGGATGACACTTCTAGGCATGCTTTTTAGGGAGTAAGGAATTTAATTTTCTGGATAAACATAATTTCTAATTGCACTATAAGAATAGGTCTTTTAAATATACCCTATTTACCACATATTGCCCAATCATGGGAAAAGGGGCTAATGGATAGGTGCAGCACAAAGGATTGAGGGTCGTATGATGAACATTATATTCATTAGCCGTTCTAATTTTGCCAAGAGGTTCACATGGATAAATATATATTTATTGACATCATATCATAAAAATGTTTAACATATCTCGCTATGGAAGTCCTTGTCTACATTGTATATACAGTATTGTACACAAAAAGGAAGAGAGATGGGGACAGGGAAGGAAAATAAATTAGTAGGATAGCAAGTCTTACATTAGTTAAATAGATAACTGGACCAAACAGCAGTGTGAACTGTCACACTGCTTGTTTTCCCACCTGTTTCTCTGAATTGTGTAAAATTAGAAATCAGGAACAATTTCCAACTGTATTTGTTCTTCATCCAAGGCCAAGCACATTCACTTGCACAGCAGAATGAAGACAGTAAAGGGCAGTGGAAGAGTCCAAGCAGCTGCTGTGTACTGATTATCTTTCTGCCTTTACAGCCTTTCTCATATCTGATCTGGACTCTGGCCCAAAAGTGGCCACAACTAATATTTTTACAAGGTGTGACTTCCCAGTCAATGTATCCCAGAACATACTGTACACAGGGTATGTTTCAGGTTTCAGTTTGCTGAGCATGTGTGACTTGGCTGCCCCCTGCTGGGTAGATTTAAATGTATTCCTCCTAAAACCAGAAAATAAATATCCCTTTCATGCCAGGCATGAACAATGAGGCATCTGCATTCCATTTTCACAGGGCCTTGCTCATTGCATCTTCTCTTTAAGCTGTCAATATCTGCAATTTGCATGAGGAAAAAGACACAGCCAAGTCTCAATGTGGATTGGGGCCACTGTGATCAAAGGATCAACATTCCTCAATCCCATGGTCAGCTCTCCTTTTGTGTCCCACAGAGAGAATGGAAGATAGAAGGGAAGCTGAGGAGAACCCTCATTCCACATGAAGGGAGAGAACTGGGCAAGGAAGAAGTGCAGTAAGATCTGCCTGTCCTATCAGCTTTGGCTCTGGCCCAACCCAGCACAGGCTTTCAATCCCAGTATTGTGCAATCCTCTGCCAAAGAATTGATCTCCCAGCCCTACACCAATGAACCGCTCAGCTCACACAATAAATAAACAATAAAAGCATGATGATGTAAACTGAGTCATGAAGCCAAAATGGAAATAATAGGAATGAAGTGGGTTGTGTTAGTTGCATCATGACATGTCATGACGTGTGTGATGTCACTTGCTCCGCTGCAGATACCCATGCCTATCTCCAAGCAACATCTGAACTTCACTGACCATCTTTACTTGAAGATGTTCAACATAGAAAATTAATTCCTTACTGCCACTAATAATTTTAAAAGCTTGTGATTTGCAAAGTGTTTTAATACGTTTATGTATATGTTTACTTTCTAACTACCCTTTAAATTAGATCACATTCTCTGTCAATTTATACTGAAATGTGTAACTTGTGTAAGATCTCTCAATTAATCCATAATAAAGAAAAACATAACACCTGTATTACTTACCAGATCTGGATTCGGACCTTAATTCCATCTACTTCTATAGTCTTCATTTTAAAATCAACTCCTATGAACAATAAAATAAAATCACATGGGGTGCAAATAGTAACCCTAGCAATTATCCAATATATTTTGCTGTATGAAATTAAATTATGATTAGAATGTTAAAACAGAGACCTTATGTCAAGTCTGTGAGTTTGTCAAGTCCTACAGTTCTGGCAAACTCAGGATCAAAAACTACCTCGATTTTCAACAAGATCTTCATTGCCAGTAAGGTAAAATAATAAGAGCTTGAAAGCGTGTCAAAGCAATTCCCCAAATCAACTTATACTTAGTGTAATCAAGACAGAGTTATTCAGTGAAATCCAATTGAGTCCAATTCTTTATTTGCTTACACCCTAGAAACAGATAGTCCTTATCTTACATTCATTTAGTGACCACTACAATGGCGCTGAAAAAAGTGACTTATGACCATTTTTCACATTTACAACTTGCAGCATCCCCATGGTCTCATGATCAGAATTCGGACACTTAGCAACTGGTTCGTATTTATGATGGTTGCAGTGTCCTGGGGTCATATGATCATCTTTTTTTTTTTTTTTTTTAAACTTTTTATTTATAAAACAATTAAAAAAAACAAACAAACATTGGATTTGACGTGACATTCCAGTATATACATTCTTATCAGATTATATCATATTTAACAATCAATTCATTATCTCTACATATACATTAAATTTTATATACATTATCTATTCTAAAATAACATACATTTCTATCTTATCATTCGTCTT